AAGAGAGGTCAAGCACCGCATCTGTTTAAAATTTCCAGGCTTTATTCCGATAAGCATTTCCTGATTCATTGTCAATTTAAGCTAAATTGGCACTAAAAACTATCATAAAGACAAATAACTTCCATCCGGTGTGGTTCACGTGAATGTGGCTATTCTTCCTAGTCCTTTGACGTTTTCAGGCAGGTAGAAGGAACTTGAAGGCAATGGAGATTTACTGCAAAAAGATATAGTATTATTGAAAATAGGCTAGATGGGAAGGGTATACCAGACCCACCCACTGTAGGAATTTTATGAATGTATGCCTCTCACTCCGAAAATATTGTTTATAAAATGCTTGCAGTGGAGAAAATAAACTGCCTAATATTAATATAACAACAGGCAGATTATTCTGTAGATAGACCTCTATGTTGCAAGGATCATAATATACCCACCTATGCAAATAAATTGGGTTCTGAATTTTCCATAAAAATGATTCTATATTCCCAGAGAAATTGCTGTTAAATTCAGTGGTTTCCTACTACCAATCCTCTCCCAATAGGGTTACAGGTAGTCCTCAAGTTATGACCATAATTGTTGCTAAGTGAGAAATTTGTTAAGTGAATTTTGCCCCATTTTACGACTTTTCTTGCCACATTTGTTAAGTGAATCACTGTCGCTGTTAAATTAGTAACACGGTTGTTAAGTGAATCTGGTTTTCCCATTGACTTTGCTTGTCAGAAGTTTGCAAAAGGTTATCACATGACCCCAAGACACCGCAACCGTCATAAATGTGAATCAGTTGTCAAGTATCCAAATGCAAATCACGTGACTATAGGAATGCTGCAACGGTCATAAATGTGAAAAATGGTCATGTTACTTTTTTCAGTGTCGCTGTAACTTCAAAAGTAAACTATTGTAAGTTGAGGATTACCCGTATTTGATCAGAGGGTTTAGGGAATCTAAAATGATGCTACACAGTGTTAAAAAAAAATCAATCAAATTTATATGGTCGCCCATTTCACAAAAAGCAACTCTGGGCGATGTACAACAGTCCAATAAAACAGTAAAACTACAGAACAGTCATTACCTAAAACCATTAAATAATAAAAAAAACATTTTAAAAAACTACAAAAGCAAAACTAAACAAAAAAAAGAAAATAATAGGCAGAGGAATATTAATAATAAGTGAGCCAGGTCATTAGTTCACCCGTCCCCTGGGTCCCCAGGCTCGGTGGCAAAACCATTACATGGTTCAGGTAATTTTGGTAGTTTCCACTGGCATTCATTCAGATAAGAATTTCCAATTTTTTTTCCTAAAAAAAAAAAAAAAGAGGCTAAAATCCTCCTATGCTTTAGTAAACCTACTGCATACACTGCCTGGATTGGCACTAGCACAGTTTACTAATTTGTTATCCAACTGGAGGCGTCTGTAATGGAAAAACTATGTACAATATATGGAATGTGAATTCTACCTCTTATCACTAATTGTGCCAACAGCCATCACCTGGGTGCTGATTAGTTTTATTAGTAGCCACTGTGGTTAGTTAGTTGGTTTTAAAGAACCATTTTACAATGAAACAGACTTCAGGGCATTCTACAAAATTCAAATGGATTACATACATTTGTGCAAATATAACTCCGTTTTGTGCATGGAGGCGTTGACATATTAATACAGTCTTCTAATAACAGTGCCAATTTAAAAAATCCACAGTTGGAAACAGAAGGTTAATACAAATGCCTTCAACTTTTATTTTATTTTTTTTAACATTTTATTAAGTTTTAAAGTAAAATACAAAATACAAAGCAAATAGTAGGACACAATAGGGAGGAAAAAGGGAGAAGAAAGTGAGGGAAAGGGAGGAAAAGGGAAAAAAAAGAGATTGACTTCCAATTTCCCCCGTTGCGGTAAAATAAAGCATTAACGTCGAGCCTCGACTTTTTACTAGTAAAAACTAGCCATTTCTGTAACAACAAATCAATCTAATCAGTGAAATCCAGAAACAACGTTTCACTTTTTCTACCTCAAGCACAAAGTCCAGAAGCGGTCTCCATGTAGAAACAAGGTACGGTATTTGTATTCTTTTCTTTAATCAAAACAGTCAATTTAGCCATCTCTGCCAGCTCCATCAACTTTTGTAGCCATTCAAAATGCCTTCAACTTTTATGATTCTTTGTGGAAATTACTAGGAAGCACTGAAATAGTTACTACAGTCACATGTAAAACCAGAAGGTGGGGGACGTTTCTACTTATTTAAGAAAAAATATCAATAGACTCCCAATAGGAAGCTTCTTATTGGCTTGGAGTTATGCAGATCAGGAATTTAATGGGGATACCTGGCTTGGCAATAATATGTGTAAAAAAGATCTTGTCATAGTAGCTGAATACAAACTGAATGATAATCAGCAGTGTGATATAACAGCAAAAAAAAAAGCAAAGGCAATAGCGATAGTTCTGTCTATCCTGGCCACACTTCATTTTAAGTGGTGTGCCCAGTTCTGGCCTCATACATTAAGGATTCAGATGAATTGAAACAGGTTGCAAGAAAGGCAATTGTACTTGAGGAGGGTTGGAATCAATGGCCTGAATGACCCTTCCCCTACAATTTCATGGATCCAAAGACGTTCTAAAAATCTTTTCTTCGTGGGCACTTCGTATGATTTAAGTGGGATCCAAGGCTCTGCTCAAAAGATAAAATATAATTAGCTGAATTAGATTTATTTTACTGTAGACCTGTAGGAATGACTTGGTACCTTAGCATTCTTTCTCACCTTTTCCAAAATTAACTTCTTTTTGACCATCAGGCTATAATGCTTTAAAAGACACATTCTTTTAATTAAACCTTCCCCATATATAATTCATTATAATTAATTTTTAATTTAATTAAACCTTTCCTCTATTTTAAAGCTCTGTCCAATTTTGCTCACCGGATAGCCAATCTACTTCTAAATACAATGATCCACTGGCTTAAAACTTTGTCAGCGCTTGTAAAACAAGAATGCTTCGTAGGTCAAGGTAGCTGGCGGACATTTCTGGGTTTGGAAGCGAATAGGATTAGGTCTACAGAGTCCTTGCACTGGAGGCATTTAAAGAATACTGGTGGATGCACTCAGCATTCAGCAAAGTATCCTGAAAGAAGGCAGGATTAAACCATTTTTTTGCATGGTGTCAGGAAAATTACAGCATGTCCTTTAGGAAAACTACAGTCCTTTAGGAAAACTACAGTCTGCCTGGAATCACCGGGACATGAGAGCTTCCTTTTTCTCGGCCAGTAGCTCTGCATCCCTTTCCAGGGACCTACTGACCCTGTGTTCAGATACTGTTGCTTTCCAGTGAAGCCAAGACTTTCAGCTGTAGATGAGCAATCGCGTGCTTCTCTGTGGTAGAGATGAAACGGCTTTTCGTACGGAGCAGTTTAATATCTACAACATTCAGATGGATTACGGGTAATCCTCGACTTACAACCAATTGTTCAGTGGATGTTCAATGTTACAATGGCACTGAAAAAAGTGATTTATGACTGGGTTTCACATCTACAACCATTGCACCATGGTCACATGATCAAAATTCAGGCACTTGACAACTGGCATGTATTTATGATGGCTGCAGTGTCCCAGCGTCACGTGATTATCTTTTGCGATTTTCTGACAAGCAAAGTCAATGGGGAAGCCAGATTCATTCAACAGCTGTGTTACTAAATTAACAATTGCAGTGATTCACTTAGCAAATGCGGCAAGAAAGATTGTAAAATGGGGAAAAATTCACACAACTGTCTTGCTTAGCAATGGAAACGTTGGGCTCAATTGTATTCATAAGTACACCCCTAGTACACCCCAGATACAAAAGAAATCCACTTCGTCAATACCTTCTGACCAACTCATAAACACTTGGACAAAAGGGTCTTGTCAGAAGCTAAAATCAGAGGCATTTAGGTCATGTTGTCAAACTTGCCACGTCACATCACATGACGTGTCGTGACGTATCACGACTTTTTCTGCATTGCCAGAGCTGGAGTGGGCGTGGCCTCCATATGATGCAACCAGCCCGTGGGCTGGCAGTTTGACACCCCTGATTTAGGTTTTTTGCATAAAACCTAAATTTGCAAAAGTTTCCTCAGCTGAAAGCAACAATGAACAGACATTAGCCTTCAAAATACCTTGTTGTAAATATCTTTATTAGCGTCTCACTGTAAAATGTGTTACATATGTGCTTTATAAAAATGAACAGCTTTCCCTAGAGATTCCCCTATATACAATTTAAAATTTCATTTCTAGAGAATTTATGAGAAAACTATTTTGGAATGTTTGGTTACATAAATTAATGATGACAGGTTTTTGTGTGTAAAACATTTATGAGAGCTAAAAAACCATGATAGAAAAATTTTTAAACATAAGTTTAAAAAAATGCTATTTTGCTGTTTACTGGGAACCATGTGTTCACATGTCACTTTTTATTAAAATATTTCTATTTCAGACCATGATATATTGCTGCTTTGGCAGCAAGTTACTTAATAAAGGGGTACATGTGTTTGTTGTCTATGAAGGAGGGGTCCTTGTTTGTTAAGTAACCCTCAAGTGGCATTTTGGTGAAAAGTTCATAAAGAGCAGCAGACAAGATTTTCTGTTTATAAAGATTTTTTTTAAAATAATAGTCTGCTTCATCTACGTCTTCATAGTTTATTGGCTTTGACTTAATATATATCAGATGGATTTATTTACAGCTTAGTGTAACATCCAGTAAGATAAAATAGTTCCTTAGGTTAAGTATAGTGGATGAAATCAAACATTATATGAGCAGATTTCTATCCACGTGACATAGTGTCTGCTCTGGAGGTTAAGGGATCACAGGAGAAATGGGAATTGTCTCATCCTAGCTCAGCTGACAGATTTTTATTAAATGTGCTACTCAACGCCTGTTGACATTGTATTTTTTGCCTAGACCATGCTTTGGTAAGACTGTGTGTAGATTTTAGAACTGCTATTCCTTTCCCCATTTCAACATTACCCTTTTTTGTTTTGTTTTTGTTTTTACAATACATACATTTGGCTTTCAACCTGTTCAACACTCACAAACCTGAAACACAACAGTATTAATTGTTCCATTTCTTAGATGCAACCCAAATTTTATGACATTAATTGATCCTTGATGCAGACTTAACCTTGTTCTGAAACAAGTAGTTTTCAAGAGGGCAGATCCTGTACTGGGTGATTGAATCTGGAGAGAGAAAGGAAGAATACAATTTAGAATGGGCACTGAATCAATAGATCCATAACTTTCACAGGATAGTAGATTGTACTGATATTTAAAGTATTACTGCTTAATAACGTCATATTTGAAGCACCGGTTTCTGCTTTATTCAATCCAGAAAAGGTGGATTGCCTTTTTAAGTCTTCCTGCTGTTAAACCTGCTGGTTGAGCTTTCAACAGAATGGAAAACAAACAGTTTAAGATTTTAAATGTCTGGATATTTCAATTTTAGCAGTAGGTTGAGAAAAAAAGAAACTATGCTCCAAACTGTTAACACAGGAATGTCACCAGTCTAAAACAGCTTTATCTGGAGATCTTTCCATTAAGAAGGTGCTGCAATTTATCCTGTTAAGGATAAGAGACAAGATTTACCCCACTGAGGCATTTTTTGTCAACTCACAGCCTCCTCTTAACCTTCTTTAGTACTTGCAAAAGCCAGAAGTAGCACTCCTTCTCACCCCCAAAGATCTGAACATTCTTAGTAACTAATATTGCTTCACACATGCTTCATTTGCAGATAAGGCAACATTTGGCATGGACGCTGCCTTTTTACCCTCTGTTTAAAACGAAAACACAAGACTAATGGTTAACTGAAAGTAGGGTTCGGTTCATCTTGCGTACTAGTGAGTTCGGCTTGCTTGCCAAAGGAGACCCCACATCCAGATAACTGCAATTATCCCAGTTTGAACATTCCCTTTTATCCATTGAGAAGTGAAAGTGCAAAAATTCATCATCCACTCATGAACTTCATGTACACAAAGAAAATGGAGCTGGGCAGAGTAAGCAGCCACAGGGAAAGACACTCCCAATTCAGACACAATAATTAGGTCATGTAGTCGGTTTTCTGTAAAAGCAACTCAAGGCTCTTCTTGGCCATGTGTATAAGCGAACTTCAGTGGGGCATTTCATTTTGATAAGTTTGATCAAAATGCCCCTCAGGAGCAACATTCTCTTTTCAAGTGTGGTTTCACAGTAGCCATACTACTAGAATGCTAAAAGGGACTTCTGTGCTCATACAGAACATCATACTTTTCTAGGACTGTAACTCCTTGGTGACTTGGATAAACGTGACTAGAAACCAAATCTTCAGTGTCTCAGGGAGGGAAGCCATTGCAATCACTTGACAGTCAGTGACAGTGGAAGAGATGGTACAGAATTTATATCTATTTCTGCTTCAGATCCTTTGTGCTCTCTTCTTTCCTTCCTTCTTTCCTTCCTTCTTTCCTTCCTTCCTTCTTTCTCTTTCCCTGCATAGAGAGGCTTTTGCCATCTGTTTCTCATGCTTCCTTGAACCATAAGTTGAAGGCAGTTACATGTTTACATTCTCTACATTCCTGCTCTGAGAATCTCCCTGGGAATCTCCTGCACTAACGCAACCTTGACACAGAAGTCCTTTCCTCTCTCAGCGAAGTGGCCACTCAAACCAGCTTTGCTTCACTTGGACACTTTGCTCCAGGGCACAGAGATAGACCAATTTTCAAGTCGAGGCAACGTGTCAGATTTGAAGCATGGGAACTTCTGGGACTGTAATGATCCTACTTGTTTAGACTTAAAATCTATGGATGACATGGGAAATTCTAGAGTAAGTTTAAGTCGTACAAGGAAACAGACTGTAATTTACCTGATTATAGGAACAGGAAATAATGCTATAATAAAAATATTATCTATATCTACATACAACTTAACTGTATACACAGAGTATAAATGGATATAGACATATACTCAATACGGTCCACCCAACACTTCCCTTCATTATCTGCCAATACAGGCTTGAAATCTGCTGTAGGGAGATATAGAAAAAGGTGCAAAGGAAAGGCAATGTGAAGTTCAAGGAAAAAAAAAGAAGGGAAGGGAAAGCTACACTGCGCAATGATAGATTTGCTTCTGCAACATTGGAAGCCATGAAATTTCTTGTGCATAGGAGAAATAGAGAATGGCCACAGGTTCTATATGATAATGTTAATGTTGGTTAATGCTGTAGAGACCCATACATTGATTTGTGCAAACACAACCCTGAGATTAAGATAATTCCCATCCCTAGGCTAAATCAATCAACCAACCAACCAACCAACCAATCAATCAATCAATCTCAAACATACCCCTCACTTAAATGTAAGGATATCAAAGTTATATTTTAGAACACATAAAATTTATATTTTAGAAAGTAAAAATGGGATCTCTTACCTATAATCCACTTTTCTGATAAACATTGCATATCCACATACTTTCCAACTTTGCACTGTCCAATACAAATTTTAGCTTGACGGAGGGTTTTACATATTTTTCCTCCACAAAGCTGTACCAACTCACAGAGCTTCTGATAGGGGGGCTGACTTGTACGAGATATGAACATTAGAGGTTGATTGGCAAAGAGTTTTTGATACCCTTTTTCTTTAAGAATATTGTGCTGAAATCGGGAAATCTGTTTGAAAAAGGGAAAAGAAATAAGTAAATGAATAAATATAATGTCATTAGAGGATGAAGCATTTGGTTTTGGGAACATATTGCTATATTTCACAATTTGCTTGCATACAAATTTTCTATTAGAATGCCTACTGCTTAAAATTTAGTGTAAAGTTATAATAAACTCTCAAAGTTGACACACACACAAATCAATAATATAGACTCTGTAATGTTAAAAATAATATCAGAATGTTCTTGATATTCAAAAATTATTTCTTCTATATTTGTTTTATTATTTATCATATTGATAATAAAGACAGAAATGAATTCCACTGCAATAAAGCTTTAAATTAAGTTTATTTTTTTCAATTTTTATGCCTTTATTTTTTTGTATGAAAACAAATATAAAGAAAGAAAACATCTAGTTCCATAATAAAACATTGCAGACTCAACAGCCTTAATCTGAATCATACTATTACTGCATCAAACCATTTTCTGGGATTGAAAAGTATATTGAATCATAAACTAGCCAAGCAGGATGGGTTCACACAGAGTATAAAGCCACAAATAACCAAGATTTAAAACAACCCAGTTTCACAGTCACTAAGTCTTGAAATAGGTAGTTAAGCATGTTGTCTAAGTACAGCCATTTGTTAGATTTCTTCTAGCTGTAAAATAATTTGTATTCAGTTACTGCCGGTTTCTTGCTCTTTTGGGAATTTTTAAGCTGAAAGCAGGATTATATATTTCTTAACACAAGATAATGAAATGCACAATAACAGTTGAATTCCAGAAGGGCAGCCATCTCAAAGGGCAAAGCTCTGTTATATTTATTCAGAAGAAAGCTCCTTGTATTCAGTAAACTTATATTTAGGTAAATGAGCAATGTGGCAGATATGTATGTAAGAAATGGAATAAAAATCTGATGATTGCTAAGATCAAGCAATTTATTTTGATAGGACTGTTTGCACTTGCACGCTTAAGCCATCATATGTGTGGACTTAACAGGCCAGACGAAGGAGGCTTTTACTACAAAAAGCATATTCAATGCCCATGATAATTAAGCAGAAATGAGATTGTATAAGAATAGGATGGGAAGATGAATAATATCTCCCAGAAAGGATGATATGCCACTATAAATTTGGTTAGTTATGCATGATTACTTTCCCTCATGACTCTTATTCATCCCTCATTAATATCAAGAGAGTGGTCTGTATTAAATCCACTAATGGATACAATGGCTGGGCAAAGGGATGTGCAAATTTAAGAATAAATCAATTGAAATCAAGGGAGCTAATCAATGGATGGATTTCAAGAGGGTTAACTTGAGGGGATGAGTAACTGATTTCCACCCAATTACTGTATAAAAAACTTGTGATAGAAATTCCCTCCATACAGGCAACTATGTGTTAAATATAACTGTTCGTCCTGGTATGTCTATTTTCCTAGTCTAAGAATTCTGGATTTTTTTCAGAGAGAAATTAGAATTATGTGAGTCCTACTCCAATCCTAGCCCTCTAAAAGGATACATGTTTGTAGCATGGCCCACAAATTTGTCTCTTCTTATTTCAGGGGGAAAAAGATAATGGTATTAACATTTAAGGGACCTGGTGACCAGGAGGAGTAGCCTTCCAGAAGCCAAGCAGGTCTGGCCTCTAGTTGGGTGACATATGGGAGCCCTATGTGACATGGCCTTATGCTCTTGGATGGAAGAAAGGCAGGATATGAACCAGCAAAATGCCATCAGAATTCACAAAACAGGAAGTGAGTCAACTTTTTCAGGAGTCACAAGACTTGTTTACATTCAGTTATTGTGCAGGAAAGTAAAATAAGTTGGAATTTGATATAAACGGTGAATAATATCATAAGATATGTTGTACTTCTTTTCCAAAAAGGCAAGTCATAAATCTTTATAGCTTTATCTTGGCATACTATCCATCTGGCATATCGGCTAATGGACTGTATCTGAGAGAGGAGAAACCCGGGTTCACATCAACATTTGACTGTTGAACAATGCATGACTTTGGCTTCATCACCGTCTCTTAACCCAACACAGGGTTGTAGTGTTGGTTGTTCAGATAAAATGAAGAACACCTTGCCAAGTGCACTAATCTGTGCTTTTGGAGAAGAAACAAGATATAAATGCAACATTAAAAAAATTAATACATCTGAAAAATATAAAGTGGAGCAGACTTACATATCTATGATGACTATTTAAATCATAGAGTTAACTTAAGAGTTCTGCTCTTATGATATTGCTAATTAGGACAATGCCCATCAGTGCCCATGTAAACAAAAGACAGGATTCAGTCTGAAAACAGACTGGAGACATTCATGCGAATGTAAGAGGAAGAAAAAAAAACATGCTGTTCACTTCAGATCATTCAGGTAGAGGTAGTCCTCAACTTACAATCATTTAGTTAAATCGGCACTGGAAAAAGCGACTTATGACCATTTTTCACACTTATGATCGTTGCAGCATCAGTTAAGGACTACCTAAATTGGCAACAGATTGCCAATTTAAATTTGCAGCTGTTGTTTGGATGTCAGCGTTTCCTTCCCTTCCAAGACAGCTGTGGATAGGGAAGGGAAAAAGAAAAGTCTCCTAGTCTGGAAAAAAATTATGGCCTTGGGAAAGGGTGGCTGGACTCTGTAACAAAGTCCTGTGAGTCAAAAGAGAAGCTTCTATGGCCAATTAGGCCCCCAAGTTGCTTCTTCCCCATACTGAGCCAAATATTCTAGCTCACATGTACAGTTTTTTAATCTTAAAAGTACCTCGGGATAAATATGAGACAAACTTCTCATATAACCCAAAATAGCTTATTTATTTTATTTTATTTTTACTAATCTCTCATGCCACCCATTTAGGTTAACAAGTAAAGTCCAAATGAAGAATAACAATCTCCATGGGATATAAATCTAGCTTTACCATATCTAAAATTAATAATCAAACCCAATTTTAAAAGACCTTGTGCTAAAATTGTCGTGTTGTGGTTGATAGCGTGGAGCTCTAAAGTTTCTAATCTAAGCTGATTAGAACTGACAAACTCTGTTTATGTTCAGATCCAGCAGAATCTGCATTTGTTAGAAAGAGCCTATGTTAAGCTTTAACTTGATTGTAATCCTGCTGTTTTACACATTTTTGAGAGGCATGGTTTAAAGAATTTATTGTACTCCTGTTTGTTCAACATTGTTCTTTAAAGCTTATAATTGCTGAGGCCATAAAGAAAAGCCATTCTATGCTCACTGTGGTTCCTATTATATTAAAAATGAGCCTAAATTGACAAGAAAACTATATGAAAAAAGGCTGTTATTTTATAGGTTTACAACAATCAAAATCAGCCAGAATTGAAAAGTTCAAACTGGGGAAGCCAAGTTGCGTGTTATACTTTTAAATGCATTATTTTATCCTATTATAACAAATAAAACTTGGATTATGAATAGAAAATCTGAGGTTTGGGCTGCTGAACTTCTTTCTAAATGCAGTTTAGGTAAGGGCTGATTTTGTATCTTTTTTCGGTTTATACAGAAATCGTTCAAATGTAAGCATATAATATATGCTTGATTTTACAAAAGGCCACACTGTAAAATCAGTGGGATAAGATCTGAATAATATATTTGAATTTAGGATTTGGCTATTATATTAGCAGCATTTTTTTCCCATCGCAAATATATGTAGAGAACTCTACATTTTCATAAAAATCTGCAACTGAAAAAGGAAGCTATCTTTGCCTCTTTCCATATCCTTCATTGTGCTTACTTTGTACCTCCAAAGATATTTCTGAAATCCACAGAAATGTTTTCTCGGAGCTACTGCCACCATCTTTTCAAAAGCACTTAAAAATAAGGCTTGCAAATATCCACGTAAATTCCTTGATATAAGTAATGGAAGGTAATATCCAATGTTATTAGTATGTCCTTTTTTCATAAAAGGACATACTAACGACTGTCCAGTCGTGTCCGACTCTAGGGGTGGTGCTCACCTTTTGTTTCTTAGCTGAGGGAGCCAGTGTTGTCCAAAGAGCTTCCGTGGTCATGCAGCCAGCATAACTATACGCCAAGGAGCATGGAATGCTGTTACCTTCCCACCGAAGTGGTACGTATTTATCTACTTGCATTTGCATGCTTTTGAACTGATAGGTGGGCAGAAGCTGGGGCAAGAACGGGAGCTCCCTCCATCATGTAACGCTCGGGTCTTAAACCTCAGCTGTCAGCTTCCCAACTGACAACTCAATGTCTAACTGCTGAGCCATCACCCCCGCTTTTTTCCATAAAAGTTCATAAAATTTGGCATTACTTCAGACATACATACTGACTCGAGAGTATGCTTGAACAAGAAACTAGAGCTCTCAAAGCTGATAGCACTGCAACATCCCATCCAAAACAGAGGATCAATATTTTCATGTACTTATAGTTTGTATTTTGGAACTAAAAGGTACAATAATACAGTGAAAGGCAACAGGGTCCATCCACAAACAGAAGAGGGCATGTGTTTCTGCTGTTTTCTACAGGTTCCCTGTTTTACCTGTTACTCAGTAACTGGAGGAGTTGAATATCCCACCCATCCACCTACCTTTAAGGCAGCAAACCAAGTACCTGATAGGTCCTTGGATTCTCTTTCTTTCCAGCTTCATTTATGCTTGTTGGCTGTCTCCTTTTTCAGTTTTCCCTTTCCCTCTTTTTTATGAAAGAGACAAAGAACATGGAGGGACTTCCAACGTTTGATGACTAGCATCTCAACCCATGTCATCTTGTGGCTTGCTTCATCCCTTTGTATGCATTTTCCATATTTTAAAGAGGCTGAATGTTTAATCTCAAAGAGTATAGATTAAGTCTTAGTGGACACATTGGGATTTACATCTTAATAGACATATATAAGATCTGATCGGTAATTATGTGCCATCAAGTCATGCTTGACACTAGCGATCACATAGAAAACATTTTCTCCTTTACAATCTATCCATGGCCTGGTTTCTCTTACCTTAATGTATTTCTCTCTCTCAACTGATTATTTATCTA